AGTATTTGAAGTGGATGAAAAGTTTCTCAGTAAGTTTGGAACTGAGGGTGGTAATTTAGGAGAATTTAATTATCCAAATTTTACAGTGGCTCTTTCTACTGGGCAAATTGTTATCACTGATCATAGCCATTGTATTCAAATTTTGGAGCAACATATAATTAATATAGAAAATTAAGTTCGATTTCTTTTAGTTCAGAAATGTATTCCTTAAAATGGTAAAATAAATGACATATGTAGCTATATCAACAAGTTTAAAGAATAAAGTTAGCTCCGTTTGCTATCTCTCGCTTTGTCGCTATCTTTGAAAGCGTTACGTCTGGTCAAATAATGAACAATTTACAATTTTGATGCGATAAGTTACATTTTTACCTTAAAATAAAATTTCAGAGGAGAAATGATTCTCGCAGGTAAACTGCAAATTACGCGATTGCAGAAAAGCAGCCTGAATTTTTAGGCGTGTTTCTNCTTCAAAAAAAATAGTTAAGTAGATTGGGTCGGACCAGAGTCTCCAGGTTAAGAAAGTTCGTTAGAAATTACTATACTTGTGAGAACCTCAGGTATGCCTGGTAAAAAACGCACATGATCCACAGAGCTGGGGTTGTTCAGACTTAATAAAGGAGATGCTTGAACCAATCATGGAGTGGTTTAGGGGAAACTTTGGTAATACACGTTTTGTATTAAGAATTTATTCTAATGAGTGTAGTCAAATTACTACTTAGCCCTCTTACTCCCAAGATCTCATTAGTAATTCTCCTTACTGTCTGACACTCTATTCTTATAAATTTAGTTCGGGGAATACGGTATTGGATAAACTATTCATTCCCTAATGGATATTTATCTTTATTCTGATCACTTGTCTGCTTGATATTGTGTTGATATTGTAAGGAGAAATTCTGTCTTCGTCAATCATGTGAGTTGAAGAGTTAATTAACGAAGTTAACGAAGTTTTGTATATGTAATTTCTTACCACCATAAATTGAGAATAAACTCCTCGTCATCTCTTGATATTTTTAGATTGTCAGAGAATTTCTTTGTGTTGGGATGCTAGCATAGTGTAATGGCGAGGACACTCACTCTTCAGTCACAGAGTTGACCCAGTTTTATTTCCTGTTGATACCACATTTGGGTTGAGTTTGTTGGTGGTTCACATCTTTGCTTCAAATTTTCTTGTTTGTTTGTTTATGTATTCCCAGATTGTTCTAGTTTAAGTTCCCAAATTCTGACCTGATCTTAGGCGCTTTTGAATTAATGTAACTAGAACTGGAGAAACTAATTCTAAATTTGATTTTTTATTTAATACTAGACTTACGTTCATGTCGTCAAACCTATTTTTAGTGGTCTTAGATGCATTCGATTGTATTATCCAGGACAAATTTTCCGCTGGAACAACCAGAGTTATTATTCTTTTTTCGCGCTAAGTATAAAGTAAACGTCAATTCCGAGAACATAAAATAAAATTTTACAAAAAGGTATGGAGGAGCGAATCCCTGTAACACCTCTCCTCTCGCTTTGGAAGGACTCGCCAAGAAGCACTTGACATGTTCCACGCCCGCCGTTAGCGGAGAAGAAGAAATCATCGCTGAAAATAATAGATTACCTGTTGATGTCGGAAATGAAACAATAAACCTTAAGGTAGGGGGGTTCCAGGCATCGCTTCCCTACACCTGTACGACCTCCCCCCCTTCCATTCATTTGGTGCAACGGTTATGGCACTTATTACCTTCTGCATCCGAGGGTAAAGTCACTCTTGAGTCGTAAAAAAATTACCTTCAAATAAATAGGAACCACAAACACCAAACCAGAAAGAGAACTATCCGAAAAAGAACAAAGATGGTTGCACACGGTGAAGATTAACACAGATTACGAATGACAACCCTCAATATTTTCGGCGTAAGATGAATAAAAAAAAAAATTATCCAGATCTTTCTATATTTAATTAGTCGTTGCTATTATCTTCCGTGGATTTGAATAGGGACTGGTTTGAAATCTGAAAGCAGTGGCAATGCCCGGCCCCGTCGGTTAATGTAACAGAAATGGAGAAAATTTAAGGATGCATGAGCGTTACCTACCCAGCTTAACTTCAGTTCTGATTTCTATATCATCTACAATTAAAGTCAAAATTAGTTGACACATCATGTCGAAAGAGTTCTATTTAAATGAAGAATAACATTCCTGTTTCTATTATGCTATGAATCATTTACAGTCCCCCCCGTTCAACGTTGGTAAAAGTTCACGGAATCACGATACAACCGTTAGGCTATAATTAAAAGTTCGTGGAATTCCTATACAACATTTTGGCTCACAGCTCATGGAATCACGATACAGCATTGTTTTGGCCTGGCTTGCAAATAATTGTGCGTACCGCTGGAGATTGATTAGACGAACAAGGCGATGCCGACCCATCCAGCCCCGCTCGTCAGACAAGATGAGACGTACCGGT